TCTTCCACCCTCTTCTGATAGTCTCCGTCCAACTGCTCCGCCGTTGCAGGCTCCTTCTTCGAGTTCTCTAACTTCTCCGCAACTTCTGCGGCCGCAACCGTTTCCGCAACGTTTGCAGGAACATCGACCTTTGCAGTCTCCTTATTCGCCACGTCGGCAATTTTCGACTCCTCTGCTTTCGAGGTCCCCTTCAGATCCGAGGAATCACTGGCCAAATCATTAGTCACCTTGCCGTTGCCAGATAAGCTAGTTTCTTGCGTTTTCCCCTGGTCTGCGATCTGCTGACCCTCCTGATTCTGCAACTTTCCACTCTCACCGCTTTCGATTTCAGTCTGATCGTTCGCCATCAAAGATTGCTTCGTGCCATCCGTTTCTCTGTCCGAATTTACTTTGGACATGTCACTCTCGTTCTTCTCGGGTACGTTTCTCTTCGAGTTCTCTTCCTGATCGTTCGACTCTTTGTCCATCTTGCTCGCCTGATTCTCGACTACAGTATTATCCTTTTCAGACCCAGCACCTCGTTTCAACGGTGTCTCTGCAGCCTTGGAATCACCAGACGAGTCAGCAGATGTTCCAGAACTCTCCGATTTCCCAGCAGCCTCCACGGTATCAGCTTCTCTCAAGTTCTCGTACTCCCTCTTCACTCTAACGTCCCCACGAGCCATCCTCTTTTCAGCTTCCTCGTCCAACGGATTGTCTTCCAAGATCGCAGAATCCTCGGCACCACCTGCAGCTTCTTCGTCCATCTCTTCGTAATCCTCGGCCCCGGAGATTCCTCTCTTCACCACGTCCTTCGTCTCGAAGTCATCGTACAAGCTGGACCTCTCTTCCTGATCGATGAACCCCGCTGAGTCTTCGCTCGAGTGAGTTTCGCTACCTTTGTACCTGGTTTCCTTGTTTTTCGAATTAATCGCAGGCTCCTCTTCAGCCTCGTCCGCGTACTCGGACCTGTCCTGGTCAACTGGGACCTCGTAATCCTTGTCTGGAAGCTTCGCAGACTCTCTGGAGGCGCGACCGATTCTCGATGTAAGTTTGGCTACCTTGCGAGGGATCGACCGCTTCTCGTCGGACTTTGCAGCCTCGTTCAAGCTCCTCGAATTGCTCTTTTTAACCAAGTTGTCCCGTTTCACGCGCGCACTCTTGCTAGCGTCTTCAGCCTGGACAGCCGTTTTACCCGGTTCAGTCTCGATGTTGCATTTCGAGCTAATCGCGTCGTTTCTTCGCTCGCTGGGTGCTCGGAAAATTTTCTCGATCAACGGGTCTACCCTATTTCTTTGATCCTCGACGACGTACACGTTGGAATCCCTGTTACTAAAATAGTACAGCAAGGAAAGACGGATCAAATGGATAAGAGAAGCAAATATGTAGATGAGGGACTATGTAAAGAAACTCATAGATCACAGGATTGGAAGAAGAAAAAGATACCATGGTAAAAAGAAAAGGGAAAAATGTGGGGTACCATTCGGTGCTTGAAGGAAGAAGCTACTATAGTTGGGAAAAGAGAGGAGAATGGAGGATGTCTTTCTGTACCTGGGTGTGTCTTTGACAAACTCTGGATGACAATAAGAAACGAACGATCGAAGAAGGATAGACAAAACGAGGATGTACACACAGTTGAGCCGGAATCGTTCGATCATCGTGTTGCAAAACGGGCATAGTGCAGATTTTTACGAATGGCCGGACGTTCGAGCTACTTTCATATTTTGATGTCTGACTTTGAAAAATTGTAACAGACGACGTTGGTGCTACGTGAATATGGAACGGCGTGCAATCGAGCTCGATCGAGAGGTTGCTTTTGTTCCAATCGACGCCACGTAGCCATAGCAATCATAGGTGGGCATTGTTCGAGTAAAATGTTATTCGAATAACATTTCGGAGAATAAAATTTTATTCGCTGACTGCATCGTATAACAAACAAAGGCATATTTCATTTGGAACGAAAACGGGGGAATTAAATTGGAGATAACGTTGTTGAAATTATCGCGTTAATCAAAGGGTTTCTCGAATTTTTATACTGCTATTAAAATTCTCCCGAATCGCTCATTTCATGAAACGAACGAGGGGGAGAATGAAAAAAGAATGGGAAAAGTTTTCGTTTCAAAATGAGACATGATATATTGGCTCCGAAAAAACGCAGAAGAAGTTTAAGAAACTAAATAAATAAAAGATAACAATAAAAATAAAATAAAATAAAATAAAGATAATAATAAAAATAAATAAATATAAGAAACTAATATCCTAAAGGGTATTAATTTAGAATAAATTTGATTCTATAACACAAGCATCCCACGATGTTCAACATTGTCCTGCCATGAGTCACGCATAGAATACAACTAAGAATAAGATGAAATAAGCATAAGACCTTAAATTTGGACTTGGTAGAGCATACGCTAGCAACGAACTACAGAGATCACTTTCAAGGCAATAACGAATTTGCATTGTTTCGACTTTTATTCTTAGTCCAGAACGAACAGGCAATTTCCTGGAAAGCGAAATGATTCAAAAAATGTTTCGTACACAGTGAAATTTACGGTGTACGGTGCATTGGAAGTGATCGGAGGAGCTGTCTGTCGCCTAATCAGCGAACTACCTTTGTTAGACTTCGTTAAAAATAATACAAACTTCGATGAACGCTATTTTAATCGATATACCTATCTAAATTATGCCTAAAACTTAAGCAACATAAATTATAAGAAGATTTTCTATGGATCTGTTCTCCCTAATTTAATGGATGAAAATCTACAACACTAAGATCGCAGCCAATCAGCTCGTATTACTTGCTATATCTTTATAATTGTATCATAGCTATTAGTTATATACGATATAACTATAGTGATACAATTAAAAATGATATGTCAAATAATAACGATTGCCCAGGTCTCACCACGTGGAGGTGCTGCGAATGGAGACCCACCCTATCCGCGTCCCATCCACCCTCCATTCGCGTAAAAATTTAGCAATAATAAATTCCCCTTTTGATGCACGTTTGCAAAACGTTCAATCTTTGATCGCTGCACAAAAGAACAGCAAAAAGGGTTTAAAAGAAATAACGACGCGAGAAACTAAACCTGAAAATAAAAAATAAATTAAGTCTTAAACTAAGCGTATAACTCTATGCGAGACGTTATTTCATTTCCATATCAATATTTTACATTTGCATGCCACAAAATATAGATAATTAGAAAGTTAAAACGAAGAAAAGACAACATTTCGT